TTCAGCCCAGGGCATGATCCTGGAGACCCAGGATTGAGTCCTGTGTCAGGCTCCCTGCATGGAGCCTGCTTCTCCCTCTGTCTGTGTCTCTTCCTCTCTCTCTCTCTCTGTCTCTCATAAATAAATAAAATCTTAAAAAAAATCACTTAAAAAACATAATAAGACTGGGCAGTGTTAGAAGCCTGTATGTGCCCCTCATTGTGCTCCCTTCTCTTTTCCAGATGAAACCAGTAATCTGTGCTAATAATTTCCTTCCTTTTCCTTATAATTATCCTGTGTGTACATATTCTTAAACAGTCTATTGTTTAGTGTTATCTGTTTGTGAATGCATATAAATGGAAACATATGGTATGTGTTTTGATTTTGCTCCTTTCACTCAGCTTTATAGTTCTGAGGTTTGTGCTTTGGATGCATGTAGCTATAGCTGATTCATTTTCTCTACTCCGTTTTTTTTTTTTTCTATTTTAAAGATTTTATTTATTTACTTATTCATGAGAGACATAAAGAGAGAGGCAGACATAAGCAGAAGGAAAAGCAGACTCCCTGCAGGGAGCCCAATGTGGGACTGATCCCAGTACCCTGGAATCATACCCTGAGCCAAAGACACTCAACCACTGAGGCACCCAGGTGCCCCTGCTCTGTTGTTTTCTATATGAATACAATTACATCTCCATTTGTTCAATCTCGTCTAGATAACTGGTGCCCATGAGCAATAATTTCTCTAGGTGACATGGGCAGGAGTGGAATTGTGAGGGCATAGGTTGTGCAGTACCCTTTCAACTTCACTAGGTAACGACTGTTTTCCAAAGTAATCTTACCAATTTAAACTTCCATCAGGTGTGGATGAGAGAGGCTACTGCCTCCTTTCCTCCTGCCATCCTTGCTAACACTGGGTATTCACTGACAATAATTTCTGCCAATTTAGTTGGTATGATATGGTAATTTTATTGTGGTTTTCATCTGCTTTCCTTTGATTACTTCTCATTTTCATATTTTGAAAAGATCACTTGTGAGTCATCTTCTGTAAAATGACCTTTTATATCTTTTACCCATTAAAAAAATTAATGCACAGGTGTTCTTTATATATCATGGATATCAATAGTTTACTGGTTGTATGTGTTGTAAATATGTCCTCTCAGTTTATTTTATTTTATTTTTTAAATTTTTATTTATTTATGATAGAGAGAGAGAGAGAGAGAGAGAGAGAGGCAGAGACATAGGCAGAGGGAGAAGCAGGCTCCATGCACCGGGAGCCCAATGTGGGATTCGATCCCAGGTCTCCAGGATCATGCCCTGAGCCAGAGGCAGGCGCCAAACCGCTGCACCACCCAGGTATCCCTGTCCTCTCAGTTTAAAGTTGGCTTTCTGGGATCTCTGGGTGGCACAGCGGTTTGGCGCCTGCCTTTGGCCCAGGGCACGATCCTGGAGACCCGGGATCGAATCCCACATTAGGCTCCCGGTGCTTGGAGCCTGCTTCTCCCTCTGCCTGTGTCTCTGCCTCTCTCTCTCTCTCTCTCTCTCTCTCTCTGTGACTATCATAAATAAATAAATAAAAAAATAAAGTTGGCTTTCTACTCTCTGTCAAGGATTGTAAGAACAGAAGTTCTTAAAATTTATTTTAATTTGGTTGATTTTATCCATCTTTCCCTTTCCGGGAATGTTTATGTTCTTTTTTCCATTATGTCTTATTTACAAAAATTATTCACAATCCCAATGTCAGAAAATATTCCCTATATTGTCTTCCAAGTGTGTTATACTTTTGACTTTTACATGTGAATCTTTTAACCTACCTGGAATTGATTTTTATATGTGGCACAATAGGGATTTAAGTCCATTTTTTCCATCTACATCTACAGTCATCCCACAAACATACATTGAATAGTCTATTTCACAGTGGTCTGCTGTGCCAAGTCTGCAAAATTGAAGTTTCCAAATATGCTCAGATTTGTTTCTGAGGTCTGTTCTATTTATCTATCTGTGCCAATACTGTAGTGTCTTAATTACTATAACTCTATAATATGTTTTAATGTGTCATGTAGAAAGCCCTCCCACTTTGTTCTTCAGGATTGTCTCAACTCTTAGGACATTTGTTTGTGTTTTTTGGTATACGTTTCTATCAGCTTATAAAGTTTTGTGGAGCTGTTGGACTTTTGACTACAATTACCTTGCATCTCTGCAAGTACATGAGCACTTAAAGATATGTACATAAGGGATCCCTGGGTGGCGCAGCGGTTTGGCGTCTGCCTTTGGCTCAGGGCGTGATCCTGGAGACCCGGGATCGAATCCCATATCGGGCTCCCGGTGCATGGAGCCTGCTTCTCCCTCTGCCTGTGTCTCTGCCTCTCTCTCACTCTCTCTGTGTGACTATCATAAATAAATAAATTTAAAAAAATTAAAAAAAAAGATATGTACATAAGTACATGAAGATAAAACTGCAGAATGTCCAAGACAAGATCTTCAAAGCAACCAGGGGTAAGAAAAAATCGCCTGCTAAAGAACAGTAAAGAGACTAATTAATTACCTTTTAACAGTAAAAATGGAAGCTGGAAGACTGTAGGAGAATGTTTGCAATGTGCCGAGAGTAAAACAATAATCAACCTGGAATGGATATCCAGTTAAACTCTTTTAAGAATGAAAGCAAAATAGGGGTTCCTGGGTAGCACAGTCAGTTAAGTGTCTGGCTCTTGGTTTCAGCTCAGGCTGTGATCTCAGTTGTGAGATCCAGCCCTGCTTTGGGCTTTGAACTCAGCATGGAGTCTGCTTGAGATTCTCTCTCCCTCTCCTTACCTCTCCCATCTGTGCTGTCCTAACTACCTTGCACCCAAATAAATAAATAAATAATAAATCTTAAAATTTTTTTTTTGAAACAAATAGAGAATATCACTAAAGGAAAGTTTCAAAAGATATACTTCAAGCAGAAGGAAAATGACCCTAGATGTTCTCCTCGGAGGAAGATCAGAGACTGGGCTTAAGAGAACTCTTCCAGGGGAAAGTTTGCTTACCTCTCAGGTGTCTGGCTTTTATTCCTTTTTGGGATCTGTAGATTCTTACCCTCATGCCAAGTCAGTGATACGTATTAAAAATTATTAAAGTATTTTATCCAGCATTTTCTTGTTTCATGTGGGAAGGATTGTTTAGGTATCTAAACCACCCACCTGCAGGATATGAAAGTCCTCCGACAGAACTTCAGGATACTCTCACTGTCTCCTCAGTCTTATGAAGTCCATGCTACCTGTCCTCATGGCACATGCACCAGCTATATTTTTACAATTATTTGTATGCTCTTTAAATTCATTGTCTACTCACCCTATTAAAGATCTAAGGGCCAGGTCTGTATTGTTCTATTTTATTCCCACAGCTTAGCAAGTGCTTGGCACATAGCAGATATTTGGTAGACATTTATTGAGTAAATGATTAGAAGAATAATTAATTTTGAGTGAGAAGCCTGTATTAGGTATTAAGTCAAGCACAGCTGTGTGTTTCTGCTTCAAATCCAGCCATTGGAGGCACGGCTTCGGGGCTAGGTGAATTCCCACAGAACTCTGCTGTGTAATGTGATAGCCATTAGCCACCAGTGGCTGTTTAAATTATTGGAATTAATTAAAATAAAATAAAATAAAATAAAACATTCAATCCCCTAAACACACTGGCCACATTTCAAGTGGCTAGGGGCTATCCTATTGGCCAGTGCACACAGAACATCTCCATTATTACAGAAAGTTCTATTGGAAGGGCTGCCATAGCATTCTCAAGAATTCTGAAGTGCTCCCTCCTCTCTCTTTCTCTTTTGCTCACTCTTGATCTTTCTGTCTCTCTCTCTCCCTACCCCTAAACCAAAAATACAGGAATAGTTGTCTTATTATTAGTGACTTAAATGATGCTTTTGAACAAGAAGATGCTGGATACTTTTGGTGACTAGCACCATCCCACTTTTTTTTCTTTTAAATTCCTGAGCTATTGTTTACTAGTACATTCTTTTATTCCTATTTCTACTAGAGCTGAATGTTACTTGGGTGGAAAGCCTAATTGCTTTCTTCTCTAGGTCCTTAAAGCCTTTGCTAATGTTTATGTCTGAGAGTTCCCAAAGCCAGGGTTCTAGGAGAGTTTGGCATATCTGAACAGCTGAACCACAGAATAATGGAGTAGGTCCGGCGGGGTGTGGGAGCAGGGCATCCTGTCAATAAAAGAGCTCCCCTCTCTGCACACATGGCCAGTTAATTGGCCATTCTGGGAAAGTATGGATGGGGAGGAGGGCTTCTGAGAATCGCCAGTGACAGTTAAGTGGCCTTTTGTTGACGTCCTCTGCTGAACAACTTTGTTGGATTTAGCCTCTGCTTTTTCCTCTGCCTCCTGTGGATTTTCTGTTAGGTTCATTTACCATTCAGGCATCATCTTTCATTCTCCCCTTCCAATATGACTGCTTTGTGTCCTGGCCTTGGCTTTATTCCTGCTCTTCCCAGACCATAAAGGGGGCTGTGTGGGGTTTCGGCAGGATCGAGAAATTGACTCTTCTGTCTGTTGAGAACCATAATGATTGCAGTAACCTTGGTGTCTAGCAGAGGATGCGCTACCTGCGCCAGCCTGATGGCGATCAGCTGAAGATAGAGGAAAGGAGTCTTCACTGAATTCCTTCTCATGCTATAGATCTGTTTCCTCGGTTCCCTTCTCTGTTCCCTCCTGTCCCCCTCCCCCCTCCCCTACAACTGGAATCCTGGTCTAAGAGGCAGCTGTGACTAAGAGTTAATGCTGTGAAATAATACTGTGAAATAATAATACATTCTGTTTTTACAGGCTTGACCAAGCCAGTTCACCCAAGTTGTCTCACCTAATACCCAGCCCCCCACCCTACCCCCACCCCAAACCCCTGTGAGGCAGGGAGGGGAGGTATTATTAACCCCATTTTACTGATGAGTAAACTGAGATTTAGAGAGATTAGGGCCGTTGCCCTCGGTCTTTCAGACAGGAAGTGAGCACACGGTCTGTCTCTAAACCTTGTGTTCTTTCTTTTGGTGGCAGTGGCATCTGCACCCTTATGTGTAAGGAGGACATGGCCCAGGGGAAGTGTGAGTGAATGGGGAGGGAGAAGGAGAGCATAGGAAGAGAGTTCAATGAGGAAGGAAGAGAGGAGTGGTTTCCTTGGGCTTCTAGCTGTTCTCATCTTTCTGCCTAGATGGAGGATTTGATGTTTACCAGAGGCTGGCCCAGCAATCCTCCAGGAGGAAAGATAGCTAAGAGCCTCGTCTTCCTCTTTCCCTCTTTCCTCTTCCCAGGCGGGGATTTGCCTAGCAGTGGGGAGGGGTGGCCCTAGCTTCCCCCAGGCCCTGGGTGTGGGAGTCACACGCCAGGTCTCCCCAGAGAAAGCCTAACACCCGTTCTCAGGCCGGGCCTGCCTGCCTTTAGGTGCTGCATTGTCTTGAGGCCCCCACCATGCCTGGACGCGAGGAAAGCCCCTGAAGCTTGCCTGAAGGAAGAAGCATGCAGGGTACCCCTGGAGGAAGTGTGTGCCCTGGCCTGTCCCCTCTGGACAGGTGGACACTCCTTGTCTCCAGTTTTATTATGGTAGCAGCTTCGGGCCAAATGAATTTCACAGGGTGAGTGGCTGCTCCTTAACTGAGGGGGGGGGGGCAGCGGGGGAAGGCTGTCGAGAGTTTGGGGACCAGGTGTGTGTGGAGGGGAGGGAGGTGGCTATCCTACTGGGACCTGGCCAAAGTGGAGGGAATCGGGACCTCAGTTCCCATTCAGGTCCTCAATCTCCCATGCCCATGCTCAAGGGCGGGACAAGCAGCTGTATCATTGTCCCTCACCACATGAGTTCTTAATCTGCGACCCAAGGGGAAGTTTCAGGGCTCCAAGAATCCCCCGATTCTTGATTATATGTAAGATAGTTTGCATATCTACTTTTCTTTCTGGGGGAGAGGTTTATAACTTTCCTGATTCTTAAAGAAGTGAGTAACCACCCAAAGACTGTGTGTCCCTGCCATAGGGATGCAGTATTGTCCTCCTGTGAATAACAGTAAGCATCTTCCACTCAGGCCCTCTAGGAACATGTTTCTCAGCCTTCCGAGATCACTATTCCATGATGTCTCCATCACGGTGATTAGAGAGGGGCTTCATTCTTCCCGATACCAGAACCAGCCAGGGAGGGAGCAGGTGCCATTTGGGCGGCAGAGCCAGGATGTCACAGACAGGCTGCTGAATTGCACAGCCTCACAGCCACTCCAGTGGGATGGGAAGGGGCTCGGCTTCCTCCCTAAGGTCACGAGAGACTGAGCTCCCCTTCTGTGTCCTCAAGCTCTTGAGAGAAGGCTGGAGAGGGCACAGGATTTGGACAGACTGTGGTTCCAGCCCTTGTATGAAGAGCACTTGGGGCCTCTGTTGATCTCCCCTGACACTGTATCTATTCCTTCCTTTCACCCCTTCATTCCTTTTGTTCTCCAGCCCTCATCCATTCCTCCTATTCCTTTTCTGTACTTCCTCCCCCATCTTGGTGCTGGGTTCATCTAGTCCCTTAGGTGGTCTGTCCTTGGGCCGGAGCAGCCCCTCTCCCAAGCCGAAGGATTGTGTGCTTCCCAGAGCAATGTGTCCTGCTCAGAGTTCTCTAGCCTTCCAGCCTTCCTGCCAGGTGCCCTCGGCCTGGTGTCTTCTCACTCAGCCTCCTCCCAGCAGCCCAGCCTTCCAGGAAGCTCTCTCCACAGCTCCCTCTGCCCTCCCTGTGTCCTTCCAGAGACCAGGTTCTTCGAGTCTTGGCTAAAAATGAGAAGCAGCTTTCAGTTCTCAGGGATCTGGAGGGCCTGAAGCCCCAGAAGGTACGGACTCCTTAGGGCTGGGGAACACATTGTACATTCTCTTATAGTGGCTCGCACCTTCTGCCCCCTGTCCTGCTCCTGCCACCCCCAGCCTGCCTGCCCTGATAGCTCTGCCAAATATCACAACGCTGTGGAAAATCAAATGTGGCTCTTCTACAGGAAAGATTGGGAACACTCTGCCCAGAAAGTTGGGTGGCCCTTCTTGGCTTTCTCCTCTGTCCTAGATGGGGGGCTATTGCAGACCCTGTCAGAGGCCACCTCACAAGTGACTGGAATGCCCTAAAGCCACACAGGAAGTACATATGTCTCCGGGTGGGATGCCATGCAGTGTGCAGACTGGACACATCTGTTTCCCAACTGAAATGGCTTAGCTTGGCAAACCTGTGTTTTATTTGGGTTTGTCCCTGTCAGGCTGAGCATTTGTTTCCGAGAACATTTGTCCTCTGCAAGTATTCCACAATGGAAAACATTTTCTTCAACTGTTATAATAGAAGGGTTTCGTTTGAGGACTGTTGAGACAACCCGATATTTCTGGAGGTGGCCCAAAGCTCTTGTCGTGATTTGTTTGAGTACCCCTATCTACCGGGACTCATAACACTTTATAACAGTGCTCTCCATTGTACAAATTGGAAAACAGACGTTGCATTTGGATGACGTGGGAATCCGGATTGGGTTCCTCATGCCTGTCCAGGGTTTGAGGGCAGCGGTGCCTCCCTCTTCTGACCACGGTTCTTGTCCATGTTAATGCCCTATATGATGAGCTGGCTTGCTTTTAGCAACCATTTAGGGCTTTAGGAGTCCAAGTGAAGTTGCAATGTGTGGGTTGAGGCTGAGAGATAAAGGTACTTGGAATTACAGAGGGAAACTCAGTTTGGGGATTTTGTTTGTTTGCCTCCGTTTTCCTGCTTGGCGTTAGGGTTTTCATTTCGAAACTGGGGCCCTTTTAACTGTGTAAGAGAAGAAGATCACCTGGCTAACCAAGATGCCTACAGGATCGGGAGGAAGTGTGGTCAACGTGTCTATTTTCCTTCCCTTTGTGACCAAGGTGGACTTCTGGCGTGGCCCGGCCAGGCCCAGCCTCCCTGTGGATATGAGAGTTCCTTTCTCTGCACTGAAAGACATCAAAGCTTTCCTGGAGTCTCATGGCCTTGCTTATAGCATCATGATAAAGGACATCCAGGTGAGGTCCTGCCCCAGTGCCACAGTAAGGGACCAACCTTCCACGTGCCTTGCTGGTTTGGGCCTAACATGGAGAAAAACAAACCAGAGCCAACAGGCATCTTGTTTCTGGGGTTCCATCTGCATTCTTGTGAACCAGCTGTGGAAGGAATGAAACCTTACACTTCCCAGAGAATATTATTTAAGTCTAGGCCAGAGTCCATGGGGGGACTAGTGTGGTGATGGCAGCCACTGTGGGCGAGTCCTCTTGGGGAGGGATTTGCAGCTCACAGCAACGGAGGAGTGTGGGGAGGAGGGAGACAGAGGAAGTAGCTCAGGTCTTTCCTAGGCATGAGGGGAAGGCAGCTGTGGACAACTACCTTGGCTTTTCTGACCATCGTGTCCTTGCCATGTCTTAGCCATCCAATACCAGAGAGCTCCTTCACTCCAGAGAAGTGGGCAGAGATGAAAGAAGCTGACTGTGAGCCTGCTGTGGTTTCCCTCCCAACATCAATACCATGAGGCTCTAAGTACTGGGTACCTCTCCTGTGCAGGATACTCCCAGGGGAATGACTTTGGGAGAGGTGGCTGCCAACCCGCCCTCAGGTAGGGCAGAGGGAGCCTTCCTCCAGGCCATGCCAACCTCCCCACCCCCACTCATCAGTGCCCCTTCCAGTCTTTTCTGAACATTATAAAATTTTATTTCCATTGTTCTGTCTTCAAGGCTATCCCAAGGAGCCTCCTTCTTAAAGCTGTCCTTGTGGGCAGAGTGTGCTGGTTAGGGCTCTCTGGCTGCACCCCTCTGCACATGCTGTTGTGCACCTATAGCTTCATATCCACATCGCTTCCTCTCCAGCCACGCTGTGCTGCAACTAATCTCTGAGGGCTCTGAGTGTGGGAACAGTCTCCCTGAGCACACACACTTGACACCACATGCCAAGGGATCAACGCATTAGGAGCATTCCCTTCCCATACGAGCACAGGGCTGGGCCCCTTCAGTCCATTCAAAGACCTTATGTGTTTGCCACTCAACATGGAGGGGTAGGCTCTTTCTCTAATTAATCCCCCACAAACCAAAATGGGGGAGACTCCTGCAGACAAGACACGGTACCGCATCAAAAGAAATAGCACTCAATTCTCATTTTTAGCCCAAGCCTAAATTTTGAAGTTTGCATTTCCCTACTTCTGCCATGCCCTGGAAACCCCACAGCATTTGGCAAACAGATATGGAAAGGTCTCTCAAAATTTCCTGTTGATTTCCACGCATCAGGAATGGCTCCAGAGGTACCTCTGAGCCTGCCCCCTGGCTCCTCCAGAGCTGTCGTCCTCATTCTCCTCAGCCTGTCCTCTCCTGTGACCCCTGGCCTGGAATCCCTCTCTGTTTGGGGGGGGGGGCTTTATACTCCCTCTCAGGAAGATGCCTTGGACTCTCAGCCCTCCGCCAGGCAGGGTTTTCACCACAGACTGGCTCTGTCTGCACTGCATCAAGCTCCAATTGTCAAACTTAAGATCCCATTTTGGCTTAGAGGGAGCTGGGGGTGGGGGAGGCTGCTGTGTGGAGTTGATTTGTGGTGATGAGGGGGAGGGTGTCCAGGAGGAGAAAAGCTCAGAGGCGCTAACAGGAGGGGAAGGCTTTGCACCACTCAGGTGGTTGGCGTCCAGCCTTATTTTCAGTTATTGACGCACAGGCCAAATTTCTTCTGAATCTTCCGGACCTTCTCAGCCCGCAGTATTTGGCATAGTGTCTCTTGCTCGGTGGGCGCTCAACTGTCTCAACAATTACTCTATTGGCAGGTTCAGAAAGAGCATGCCCAGACAGAGAACTTGCTATTATGTTGGTCTTTGTCTCCAGAGCCCCCTCTCCCGAGCCCCTTGCCTATCTTTAGGGGCTGAAATCCTAGCACCTACTATAGCACCTGCCACTCATTTGGGGCTTAATAAATGTTAGATGAATGAATGGATGCAAGAAAAGGAGAGAAGTAAGGATGTGTTTGCTGGACAGTACCACCAGGCTGAGAGGGAGCTGGAAAAACCTCAATGCAGGCTTTGGCTTTGGCCAGAGGCACCAGAGATTTTTGAGGAAGGAAAGTGTACCCCAGCCTCCACCCCGCCCCCAAGTTGTGATCAGGAGGCTGCTTGAGGTAGAAGAGATGGGTTCCTTCAGTCCACTCGCTGATGCCGAGATGCCTACTGTGTGCAAGGGGCAGACAATATAAAGAGAAGAACTCTGGTCCTGTACCCAGGAGCCCGGGGTGGGGTGGGGGTGGGGAGCGGAGGGAGTAAATCAGTGATTACAATGGAGTGGATGAGTGTGCTGACGGAGTGCAGCAGGTTGCTATGGGAGCGAGGACAAGAGGCACTGCACGTCGCGCCTCTCAGAAGGCAGTAATTACGGCGCGGTGCGGCTGAAGAGCAGGCGAGGGGGGACCTGGAGGGGAAGGGGGCCCCCGATTGGCGATGGCCCGACCAGATCACAAAGGCATCCTCTGCTGGGTGAAGAGGTCGAGATTTGATCCCAGAAATCGTAGGGGAGCCATCGGAGGGCTCTGACATGATCAGATTTGCATTTAAGAAAAATCCCTCTGACAATGACAATGTTGAGTTGGGGACAGGAGCAGGAAGAGACTGACAGGCAGGAGGGTGCTGAGGAAATTGCAGTGGGCCAGGCAAGAAATTATCTGATTCAGAGAGAGCTCTATTTGCATTTAATTTTTCTTCACCTCCCCCTTTTTTTCAGCCCTTTGGTTTTGGTGTGGTTTCTTTCTTTCTTTCTTTCTTTCTTTCTTTCTTTCTTTCTTTCTTTCTTTCTTTCTTTCTTTCTTTCTTTCTTTCTTTCTTCTTTCTTTCTTTCTTTCTTTCTTTCTTTCTTTCTTTCTTTCTTTCTTTCTTTTTTCCTCTAGGATGAGTCACCATGGAAAAGCTTCACTTGAGCAATCAGCTCTGTGGATTTTAATGGCTTTTTTCTGATTACAAAATTAATAAATATTCATGTTAGATAATTTGGAAAATAGGGGAAAGCACAAAGGAGAAAACAAAAACCACCATGCTCTGAGCATCTAGAGCAAAACACAATTTAGTGTAAATATTCCTTTGCCAATTCCCCCCTTCCCTTACCGGATCATTCTCATTAGCATACAGATATAGAGTTATTTCTCTTGCCCTGAAAAAATCCACTCTTGATCCCTTCCCCTCACCTCCAGCCATCACACCATTTCTCTGCTTCCCCATATAGCAAAACCCCTAAAAAGGTGGACTATACCTGTCATCTTCATCCCTCACTTTGGGTGGACTGTCCATCCCTCACATCAGCAAAACAGTCCTTGATGTCATCACCCACAGCTCCTAGATCCAACTCAGTGGTCAACTTTGAGTTCCCATTGTTCCTTCACTTTTCAGCACAACTGGTCACTTTCTCTTCTTTTGAAATATGTCCTGTCTTGGCCTCCAGAATGCTGCACTCTCTGGGGTTATCCCATCTTACTGGCTGCTCCTTGCATGTTGTTTTCCTGTTTCCCACCTCTGTCCTTTGACCTCTCCTCTATCCCTTTGTCCAAGATCATGGTGTTGAAAACCTTCAGCCCCCTGAATATTCTCATACTTATAGCTCCAGCCAGACTCCCACATCCGACCTGAACTGCAGCCCCGCACCTATATCCCACCACCTTCTCCACATCACCTCCTGCCTGCCTAATGGACATCTCAAACTTCACTGCTTCAAACTGAGTACCCCCACCCCCAGCCTGCTTCTCCACAGCCTTCTCCATCTCAGGAAATGGCAATGCCATTCTTCTGGTCACTCAGACAAGAAGCCTGACGTCATCCTTGACTCCTTTCTCACATCCCACATTCAGTTCATCAGCAAATCCTCATCAGCTCTCCCTTTGGTATCTTACTATTCTGTGCTGCCACCCTGGGCCAGATCACCATCAGTTCCACACCTGGATTATTCCAAGAGTTCTGAACTGCTCTTCCCAGCACCACCCTTGCCTCCTTGTTACCTAGCCTTAAAACATATTCAGAGGGGTCCTTTGCAATTATTAGTATTATATATTATATCCAATTATGTCACTTCTCTGCCTAAAACCCTCAATGACTTCCCAACTCAGAGTAAAAGCCTTAAAATGGCTGTTAGGTGCCACATGATCTATGCCCCACCCCCACACCACTGACTGCTCTCCCCTCGCTCACTCTGCTCCAGACACTTGCAACTCCTTAAGGTTTCTTGAACTTGCCTGATCCATTCCTGCATCAAGGCCCTTGACTAGAGTCATACCTCAGGGCCTTTGCACTTCCTGGTCCTTATGACTGGAATGCTGTTTCTGCAGATATCTGTGTGACTTAGTCCCTCACTGCTTTCAAAACCTATTCACAGATCACCTTTTCACCTTATTTTAAACTGTACCCTTCTTCTCCTACATTCTCCAATTCCCTCCCTCCTTTCACTGCATCACTTTTCTCCTTGACACTTACCACCTTCTAATATCCCATCTAATTTATGGCATTATGATGTCTATTGTCTGTCTACCCTGCCAGACTGTAAGCTCCATGAAGGCAGACAGTCTTGTTTCGTTGGCTGTCACATCATTAGTACCCAATGTGTGCTCAACACTCATTCACTGAAAAGAAGAGATTAAAAAGTGGCCATGATGGTGGCTGGGGTGGGGTTGGACGGCATCTCTTAAAAGGAGAGGAGGCCAGGCAGGGATGAGTGGGAGAAGGCAAGGGAGGGAGGGAGCAGTCATGGGCAAGGATCCGAGAGAGAGGCAAAGTCCCCCTGCACCAAGGGGGGACAGAGAGAGAAGGGCTGGCCCTTTTGTTGGTTCTGGGAGGGGGCCAGTTGCTGATCGACACCCTCAACAGACCGTTAAAGGGTGCCGTCCGCCATCCAGGTCCTTCAGACACCACTTCTCTCTGGAGGAATCCAGGTTTTCGGCTCATGCCTGGTCATGACTGTTCCATCGCAGAGTCCTGGAGTTACCCCAGGAATTACTGTTTGCCCTGCCATCCTCCTCCTCCTCATCATCATAGCTACATGCCAGGCAAGGTGTCAAGCATTTTACACTTATTAACCATTCTAATCCTCACAAGAGCACTTTAAAGAATGTGTACATGTGATAACTTTAGGAAGGCACAGAGAGATGAGCACTCTGGTAAACCGAGGCACCAAGAGATTAGTGACTTGCCCGTTAGTGATGGCGTCAGGATTCAACATGAGGCAGCCTGGCTACAGGCCCTGCACTTGCTGCTCTTGTGCCCATCTGCTTCCTCAGCAGCTGCCATTATTGTTGGTGTGGGTGGTTTTAACTTTGCCTCCTGGGCGGTGGAGTCACCCTTCAGCCTTGATCTCTGAGGGGGTCCATTCCAAAAACCCCAGATCTGTATGTAGCCACCAGCATGGAAGCGTGGACGGCAGTTGCTGCCCGCCAGGCAGCTGCTACTGCAAATGTCAGGCCTGGAAGAGAAGGCCAGGGACATATGAGCAGAGGTGATGCTGTTGTCCCAGAGCAGGGGGTGGGTGGGGGGTGGGGTTGGGCGTTGCTGAGATGCTCCCCGTCCGCTGTTACCTGGAGTGGGGTCCATTTCCCGGGTGTGGTTGGAGCTCAGCTGCCCATTCCCTTCAGGCACCAGCGTCACCTCCCCGGGGCACCTTGCTCGGCCCTCATGCCCTCTCCTCTATCCTCGAGGTGCTCTTCTTTGCTCTGTGTTCCCGGCCTTCCTCACCCCTGTCATAAATTAATTCACACCAAGGTATTACTTTCCTTGTCAGGTTATGGCTTCCAGGGAGGCAAATGGCTGACTTCGGAGTTGTTTCTTTTTTCCTCTGAGAAGACTTGACAGGGCTGTAATTAGGCTTCCCGAGCCTGTGGCAAGACCGCATTCTTAGTTCTCCCATCTCCTTCCCTCAGCCCGTGAAGGGAGCAAACATCTGTGTCTTTTTCAGGCCAGGGCGGATTAGTGTTCTTGGAATTGGGGCCCAGCTGTGAGGCCTGAGCATTCCCAATTTGTAAGCGGGTGTCAGATCCATTCACAAGCCTGTGAGGGTGTTTGGAAAGTGATTTGTGGTGTGGTGCCGATTTCCCATTTGCCCCCAAGCTATTCTGTGGAACAAAGAACAGTCTCACTGGAGCTGTGTTCTTGTGGGTGTCCCTGGGGTGTGTGGGAAGAGTTGGGTCCTCTGGTCCGGTCTTCCACCTTTACCCACTGCCTCAGGATCCCTGGGAAGTCGGACATAGGGGCCCTTCATTCAGATGGGGCCAGAGTGGCACTTCTGGGGGGCACTAGCCCAGCCTGCTTGCTCCCCTGCAGCTGCTCGCCACAGCTGGTCGCACCCGGCCCAGAGTGATGGGCACACATTGGTCATGGTAGGTTGCTGAGATTTCCGTTGGTTTCCTGGGAGAAGACAAGTCCCTTTTGTTAGAACTTCCTGGGGTGGTGCTTGTGCCAGCAAGGATCAAAACTCGTCCAGTCTTCCCTCACTCAACCAGCAATGCCAGCTTTGCCCAAGTAAGAATGTCCCCAGCCCAGCCAGTTAGGGCAGAAAACATTGCAATCACAATTGCCTAAGGTGCACTGGGTGCTCCAAAAGAAAAGAAAATGAGGCCCAAGAACTTGATCTCCAGTTCCATTTTTAAATCTGGGCACTTGAGGGTTGTGAGCAAGCTGACTGGGGCAGCAGGGTGAGTGGTCACTGGGTGGTGACCACTGCAGGGATGATGGTGGGTACGTCTCTTCCGGCCCTGCCAACACTGAGAATTCCATGGCTTCTACTTTATTTTTGCCACTAGGGGTTTTTATTTTTGCTTTAGTATTATTTATTCATTTATAAGATTATACTTGTTTTAGTATAAGCATGTTGCCAAAATGTAAAAACAGAGAAAATTTTCAAATTGCTTAAAATTATCATAATCTTTCCATTCCAACAGACATTGTTTACATTTTGGTCTTTTTTGACATTTTAGTGTCATGTTTTCCAATGCTCGGGGTATTGCTTCTTCATTATTTTAAAACACTTTTTAATTGCAACAGTAGTATGATGGACTTTTTTTACCTGTTGTTAACATTTTACACATTTGCTTGCTCTCTCTGTATGTACACACATATACACATACACACACAGATAAGAATACAGTTGACCCTTGAACAGCATGGGTTTGAACTGTGTGAATATACATGTTTGTTTGTTTGTTTGTTTTTATAAAAACAGTACAATACTATAAATGTATTTTCTTTTCCTTATGATTTTCTATTTTTAAAAAAAGATTTTATTTATTTGAGAGATAGAGCCAAGCAGAGGCAAAGGGAGAGAGAATATCTTAAGCAGACTCCACGCTGGGCATGGAACCCAATGCCAGGCTCAGTCTCACAACTCTGAGATCATGGCCTGAGTCAAAATCAAGAGTTGGATGTTAAGCTGACTGAGCCACCCAGGCGCCCCTCCTTATGATTTTCGTAATATCATTTTCTTTTTTCTAGCTTGTTTTATTGTAAGAATATAGTGTATAATACCTATAACATACAAAATATATGTTAATTGTTTATGTTACTGGTAAGGTTTCTGGTCAGCAACAGGCTATTAGTAGTTAAGTTTTGGGGAGTCAAAAGTTATATGTGGATTTTCAACAGCATAAGGGTCAGTGCACCTAAACCTCTCATTGTTCAAAGATCAACTGTATATACCTGTAGATATGTGTATCTATTTTTGCGCACGCATATATATGTTTATCATGTATATTCTAAGTATGTGTTTATTATTCTTACTAGCCTTTGTTTTTTTTTTAATTTTTATTTATTTATGATAGTCACAGAGAGAGAGAGAGAGAGAGAGAGGCAGAGACATAGGCAGAGGGAGAAGCAGGCTCCATGCACCGGGAGCCCAACGTGGGACTCGATCCCGGGTCTCCAGGATCACGCCCTGGGCCAAAGGCAGGCGCTAAACTGCTGCGCCACCCCGGCATCCCTAGCCTTTGGTTTTGATAGCTAGCCAGCCCTAAGGGACCCAAGGCTAGGACTGGGGTATCTGCGTTCTTATCTCACCCCTGCTCCTTGTTGGCTTTGCCATTGAATCCCTTCAACTCTCCAATCTGGTTTATCTCTAAAACATGAATAGTTAATTCCTGGCCTGTTATTTGGTCATCTGACCAGATCAACAGAGATAATGAGGAGAAGGATGCCTGGTAAACAAAAAGAATGCTCTGGCCTGAAGCAAGGCATTATCAAGACTGACTGTGTCCAGACCTCAAACCAGGGTGACTCTTCACCCTTTGTAGTGGAGGGGCCCAGGTACTTCCCATGCTGCAAGTCAGCACAGAATCCTGAGATGTCTCTATCCCTGGGTGCCAATGTAAGGGTATGGGCTTGGGTGAAGGGCACCTGCCTAACTCACTGAGCCTCAAGCTGGGAAAGGTATCCCAGAATGATGTGGAAGGGCAACCCAATCCAACTATATGCCCTCCCTATGGTCAGTGGGAAGTACCCCATGAAGACTGGGTACCAACCTCAGATAATACCAATAGGGACAGCAATAAAGACATTGCTTTTGGCTCACTTATACTTGTGTTTAAGAGGCCATTAAGATGGTGAGTAAAACACTGTTGACACATTAATCCCATAATTATTTGGAGCAGCTTAGATCATAGCTGGCTTTCCAAATGGTCTGGACATCAATCGTTTAGGCTACTCTCTGTGGGTAGAGCGGATGTTACAGGTCAGGGGAGCCCTCTGCTCCTCTAGGGGGGCCAGTGTGCATGGATCAGCTTGGGGCTTGAATCAGCAGTGTTCTGAGAGGTCAAAAGCAATGTTGGCAATAGATCATGAGCACTTTTCTAAGACATTTTCATATCCACCGTTACATTGTGTCCTATGAGATGGGCAGGGCAGGTATTACTGTCCTAATGTTCATGCTGAGGAAACTAAGGCCAGGTCTCCACAGCAAGTTGGTGGCAGATGTGGTACACAGCTCTCTGGACTCCTCACCCCGTGCTCATTGGGGAAATGGTGGCGTGAATATCGGCTTGCCACACGGAATCACCCAGCAACTGTATCACCTCCTGTTGTGCAGCTCACACTCTGGTGGCTCATTCACCTGTGTCGGTGCTGTCTTTGTGCACAGCCAGCTGAAGCAGGGCTCCTAAGGAGGCACGCCTGGCCTAGTCCTCCCCTTCCTTTCCAGTATGTGCTCTTATCTCCTAGGTGCTGCTGGACAAGGAGAGAGAAGCCATGGCGAGGTCCCGCCGGTTGGAGCGCAGCACCAGTAGCTTCAGCTACTCCTCTTACCACACTCTGGAGGAGGTAGGTCTCCCCAGTCAGACTCTGGGATCCATCATCCCTCTGGGCTCTCAGGGTCTCCAGACTCAGGCAGAGACTCATGAAAGACTCCGAGGTCTGTGGGAGAGAGAACAGGGTTGCTTCAGTTGGAGAGAATTCTTGATAACAGTTACAGGCAGCTAGAGGAGGCATGACTGGTTGTGACTTGTTTATAAAGGAGAACATAGATACATCCAGTCCAGAAAGAAACTCAAAGCATAGGTCCCACTTTCATGTAAAGGACGTGGTAATATTGATATGGTCCACTATGTTATCATCATCATTATTCTCCCAGTTTCACATGGCCTATAAGAGAAGATCCATTTTCCCCCATATATTTGGTAATTCAGTTATATCCACTGAAAGAGAAAGGGAGAGGATTAATATGGCCTGACAGTATTTATTGGTATCAGAGACAAATAACCCTGCCTTCAAAGGGCTTAGAGTCTAAAAGGGCCGGGAAGACTAAAAAGCACTGCAGGATCTGTGGGGTCTGTCAAATGGCCTGACTGGGCCAAGAGAATGGAAGCAAGAGAGACTTCCACCCCGAGAGAGCCTTGCAGGCTGACCCTGGGGACTGAGCAGGTGAGTATGTGCAAGGGCTTAGTTCTGCGTGTGCTGAGTTGCCTGTGAATCCAGGCTGACAGCAGCCCATTACCTTAGGCCTGGTGGGTATCTTTGATTTGTGCACTTCTCCATCTGGGCTCTTCTAGATCCTCAAGGGAGGTGGGAAAGCATTCAGGAGGGTGGGATGAGGGAAGGGGGGTACCTGGGGCGGGGGAGACCCTTGGTGTTTGCCTCTCCCTGCCTAACTGCCTGTCCGATAAACTTCATTCCTGTCAGATATATAGCTGGATTGACAACTTTGTAACTGAGCATTCAGATATTGTCTCAAAAATTCGGATTGGCCACAGCTTTGAAAATCGGTCCATTCTTGTTCTGAAGGTAAATAAAAGCTGGCAGTGTTGGCCACTAGACTCTACAGTGAGAGCTTCTGGCATAAGATTGAACTTGTGTGGGGCCGTGGCTGGCTGGGAGTTTTAGGGACAGAGAAGATGTGTATACTCCTGCCCTGAGGTGACCCACAGCTCTGGGGTTGTGACATTCAGGGACCCACCCTCATAGATATGGACAGGTGACAGTATGATGACCTGGCGTGTCTTGGGTCAGGAAGTAGGTGGGAGGGTTGCTAAGGAGATGGAACTGCAAGGTGGCAGTCATCACATTGCCTTTGGGATGTGAATGTGGGGGAGTTGGCATTCTCTCTGTTCCCTTGGTTTCTTCATCTGTTAAATGGGAAGAGAGGTAAATAGAGGCCTCATTTACAAATGACTGAGGTCATCTGGCTCAGGCAGCCCCACAGATAGGCCTGAGTCTGTGGGGAGACACCCCCAGCCCTTCACAGGGGCCACTGGAAACAGAGTTGGGTCAAACTTGACAGCAGCGATGCCCTTGGTCGTGAATGAGGCAGGATAGGTAGGAGCATGGAACCAACTGGGAAACAATTCTTAGAATGTGCCCTGAAGGGCGCTCAGGAGTGTGGACTGCACAGGGCACGTGATGTCCAGTTCTCAGAGAGATAAGTGCTGTCGCTCTCAACAATGCCCTGTAGGGTTCTTCCAAAGGGTCAAGCATCCATCTCTCACTTGGGACTGACCTCCCCAGTGCCTGCTTTGACTTCCCCCAGGGGCTGTCGGTGTTCTCTCTTTAATGTTGTGTAAGACCTTTCTACTCAAAGTGTGGTCCTGGCGCCTCAGCGGCGTCTCCAGGAGCTTGTTAGAAATGCCCAACCACAGACCCCTCCCCAGACCTGCTAAGAATCTGCATTTTAGTAAGATCCTGGGGGATTCATGTGCCCTTTAAAGTTTGAGAAACCCTTCAAGTCTGGGAAGCTTCATGCTTCTAGCTGGATCACTGGGCTCTCCACGCGCACTTGTACCACTGTGTCACCAGGGTCCCACACATGTGCACTTGGTGGACTTGTACATAAGTACCTGCACACACAGTCCCCCTCTTGGGTGCGTAAGGCCACCCCAGGCAGTGAGGATACACCTGGGGCCTCCTTCTGGGAGCCCAGGGACAGCCCTGTAAGCTTTCTCAGTTCCAACTTGTTTGGGACCTGGTGCTTTTACTCAGTTCAGCACTGGAGGTTCTCAGCGCCGGGCCATCTGGATCGACACCGGAATCCACTCCCGGGAGTGGATCACCCATGCCACTGGCATCTGGACAGCCAAGAAGGTCAGCACCAATGATGGGGGTGGAGCAGGGGTGGGGACTATTTGACTATTTTAGGGTGCCTCCAGTTGAAAAATTATACTTGTTTAAACTCAGGGGCTCTCTACCCTCCTGTCCTTTGGAACAGCTGCCATGTGCTCTGCCCTTTTGCAGCATAGTGCCCACATCTATCCTCTGCCTTCCAGTTGTCCAAGCCTTTAATTCTGCACAAAGAATGTATCTGATGGCCCGATGCCACCCCTGCCTGCAGCCACTGGCTGTGCAAATGCCCTGACCTGCCTTAGAGGAGAGCGCAGCAGTGCCTACCATCCCTCTGCCTGTACCCACTCTGCCCTTGCTTGCAGATTGTCAATGAATATGGCAAAGACCGCACCCTGACAAACATACTGAATGCCATGGACATCTTCATGGAGATTGTCACCAACCCTGATGGGTTTGCATTTACCCACAGCATGGTGAGGGCATTTGGGAAGGAGAGGGTCAGGGGTCAGGGGTCAGGGTCAGCTCTAGGGGGATGCAGGAAAGGTAACTGCAGCTTTGGAAAGCTGGACTGAGGTTCCCTGGGGACTGGCCCCTCAGGGTCTCCAGGTGGAGGGAGGGTCTCTCGAAGGCAGACAGGTAACCCTGATCCTGCAGCTCTGGCTCTTGCCTTTCCACCCTTGCCCTGCTGCCCGGGAAGACCACTGTTGTCAACCTGTGTCTGTCCGCAGGCCTCTCCCCACATTCTGGCTTTAGCCATGAGCTGATCCGCAGTTCTGACCCAGCCTTATGCCAGCCCCATCCTGCCCTAGAGAGTCCTTCCCCTTTGCCTTCTCTGTCCCACCAGACCCGCCTTCCTAGGACAGGATGTCAGAGGCTCCAGCCCTTGGGAAAGGGGGTGAATGTCACCTGCCCTGGGTTTTTTTCAGAACCGCCTGTGGCGGAAGAACAAGTCTACTCGACCTGGAGTCTTCTGCATTGGTGTGGATCTTAACAGGAACTGGAAGTCGGGCTTTGGAGGTATGGCAGTCGGCTGGACCTGGGGCTGGGCTGGAAAAGGCCTTGATCCTTGGCACATCTCCCACAGTCACGTTATGTGGACACATAATTTGGGAGGCAGTGTAGTTAGGTAATGCAAGTGAGTCATGGCTGGGGACAGGCAAGCACGTGCTTCGGATGGGCCATGTGATACAGGAGAGGTGGCCCACGTGTGGTAAATGTATGCATAGGCTCCAGCTTGGTGGGAAACACGGGAAACAGCTCCCTGCATGGAACTAACTGCAAGGGTCGAGTCCTAAATATGGCAGATAGCCTTCAGGTTGTACCTTCAAGAGGTACAAGATGGTCTTGCTAGTTGTTCAGGACTCAGAGTTTAAAGAGGCCCCCGGAATCTTTCTAGCCCTTCCTAATAGGGAGCCCACCAAAAGAAAATGCCTCCAAACTCATTTCCTGAGAGCCACGACCAGAAATTTGCCCTTTGGGGAGGCAGAACAATAGTTTTAATATAGAATAAGCCAATTTCTTATCATCAACACTGACTTGAGGCTGCTGTGTATGCGTGTGTCTGTGTTTTCCCAGTTGCTTTGTAATTAATCCTGGGCTGACGAGCTGCTGCAGATCTGCAGGGTCCTGTTGTTCTGGGCAGAGGTGGACAGCTTCCTCCCAAGTTCCTCGAGTGTTCTTCCCAATGATCTCCCTTACCATGCCAGGGGCCTAGGAACTAGATGGGGAAACGGAGGCCTCCAGAAAGCCTAGAGACCATGAGGAATGCAGTCGTTTGATGGTGGGATTCTGGGTCTAGCCAAGACAGGTTGCAAGGGTACAGCCTTCAGGCTCTGGATGCAGCACCAGGTATCCTGCGTAAAGTTTGACTCTGCAGGAGAAGGTGCCATTGCTGTTGAAAAGCAGATCCAGAGATGGGTGGCTAAACTAATGAGATGGAACATTCTAGATCTGCCCATCACTTTGAAAATCTGGCATCTTTCAGTCTGTTCTCATTGAAAAATAAGCATCTGAAGCATCCGGAGGGAGGCTCTTAGCTTGTGATGTGGGGGTTGTCTGAGAATCTGGCACTGTGTGTGTTGCTGCTTGTGCAAGGGAACACAGCTGTGTAAAAACAGACATTCTCACCTCCAGATGACCAGACACTTGCCTCATATGGGCATTCACGTGGGCCCCTCAGAACTGGTTGAAGCCAGTACCTGTGGACCCCCAAGATAGACCAGCTAGGGAAAGGCAAATGATCTCTTAAAGAAAATAACTTGTGTGTGTTTCACCATGGGGGTGGGAGTGGAGTGGGGGAATCAGTATATACACAATGTAACAACAACAACAAAATATATGGGGGAAAAAAGCCCAGAGGGGACTAAAACCTCCCATAATCCCCCTACCCAAAGATTACTGTTTTTAATAATATACCATGTCCTTCCAGAGATTTCCCTTTGCTGCAAATTACATTTTCAGAGGAGGAAAAATAAATAGCTAATGAATCCATTAGCAGGTACTTGTGACACAGGCAGGCTCAGAGGACTTGGACTGTGAACGTCAGAGAGAGGCAGGCAGCTAATTCCCATTTGGTCAGGGGAAGATTAGTTTATGCTGCTTAGCTCAAACCAGAACTAATGGCCTGAAGTGTTTCTCCATATTTGGGCAAAGCCACCTGGTCGTTGGCAGGGGAACCACTCTCCATGCGTGGGCTGCAAACGCAGACAAAGCTCTCAGCCTCCCCTGCTCTGCTCATCTGTTGCTGTTTGTCATTCATCAAGTGGAGCAGGTGCAGAAGCTCCCGGCAGACACAACAAACAGGGCTACTGTCCAGCCTGTGGGGCTCGTCCTCACCCTTGCTTCCTGCAGGCACATCCCCTTCTAAGCAGGGTCCTCACTCCAGGAGGGACCTGCAGACCAAGGAGGGATGCACTGCCCGGTGACAGAACTGCCTCTGGCCTGCCAGTGGACAGAAATACTGTGTGTCTGGGTTGGTGACTCAGGCAGGAAGATTTTGTTTATGGTTTTATCATTGCCTTAATTTAATTGCTGCATAATGAGTAATCTGTAGACCATCCCTCCCACTCATGCTGCCCTTCCCTGCACTCTCGGGGAGGACTGGTTTGCTGCAACTCTAGCGCAGCATCTCAGCTGGTCCCTGGGCCAGCTCCCCAGCTCTCTGGCCACGCGCTGCCTTGCAGGTCTGGGGTGGGTGCTCTGGCATCCTCAAGAGGATTCAGAAGTTGGGGTGATCCCTGACCTCTGCATCGGGCTTGTGTACAGTCATTTCAGGGAGGAGGAGGAGGGAGAGGAGAAACTGTGATGGTTCTTTCCAAATGTGTTGCTAACCCACAAATCTTGACCAGCCCACAGCCCAGCCCTCCATGACATGGCCCTTGGGGAGGGGAAGAAGACAGAAGAGGAGGGTGAGAGGAAGAAAAGAGATGGAGAGCAAAGAATCTAGGAGATGGGAAAAAATTAAATTTGTGAACAACATAGAAGCTCAGCTCCTGTCCCTAAACTGAGGTCCCCAAGAATTGTCAAAGGCTCTTTACATCTGTGGCTCTCAGGCCAGCCTCAAGCAGCTCTGAGGATCTGTTCGCTCTTTTTCTGGCCCCGAGTCCATGTTGCTCCTGGGGCCATGGTTGTGGCAAATCCTGAGGAGATACTAAGTCTGAGCACTCAACTGACCCAAGCCTTCTGCCTGGCAGTGAACGGTCAGCAGAGAAGGGTCAGCTCAGAGGGGTCGCCGCTTGTAGAGGAAGCCAAGGGTGGAGACCTAGCGTTTCCTCTGAAGGCAGCCACTGAAGCAGTCCTTTTCTATGGAATGGGTCAAGACTTAAGCAAAGGACAAGTCGAGGGTGTTCTCTACAAGGCCCACAGAGTTGCTGAATCATGGTGTGGCTGCACTCCTCTGATGTATTGGACTAGAGGATGCAGTAGTGATAAATGCCCATCCAAATCTCAGTGGCTCCATGCAGTAAAAGTTTATTTTTCACATACATGAAGTCCAATGTGGGTAGGTAACTTTCCTTGGCAGCTTTCTTCCAAAGATTCCTCCAGCTAGAGTTTTTTGCTTCCAACCACAGAGACAGAAGAGACTGTGGGGAAGTCATGCCTGCTCTTAACATCCTCAAATGAAAAGTGACACATCGTTACTGCCCACATTCTCGTTGGTCAGAAGCAGTCATATGGCCTCGACCAAGCTGCAAAGGAGGCCAGGAAATCTCGAAGAATACCTGGCTATTTTGTGAGCATTAAGTGTCTTTCCCAAACCCGGGAATTTGAAACCTCTGAGTGCTTTTCTTTTTCTTCCAGGAAATGGTTCTAATAACAACCCCTGCTCAGAGACTTATCATGGGCCTTCCGCTCAGTCGGAGCCGGAGGTGGCTGCCATTGTGGACTTTATCACTGCCCATGGGAATATCAAGGCTCTGATCTCCATTCACAGCTACTCTCAGATGCTCATGTACCCTTATGGCCACTCACTGGAGCCTGTTCCAAACCAGAAGGAGTTGGTGAGACTGGCTGCCTGGGGTTTGGAGGAGGCATCAGGCAGACCCCCAGAGGTTCAGGCCCTCACTCTGAAACAAGGATCTGGGCCTGTTGACCGTGTGGTAGGGAGGAGGGGGAGAGCTTGTTGTTCTCACATGTGGTCAAATTCAATGCCAGAGCCACTGTGCTCCCTTCCCATGGACTCATTCAACTTCCAGGACTCCTAAGTTCTTATTTTTCAGCAGTTGGTGAGGGTGTGGGAGTGTGGGGAGCCCCAGCCTCACCTCTGGACGTAATCTCGCAGTACAATCTTGCCAAGGACGCAGTGCAGGCCCTGTATCAAGTCCACGGGATCGAGTACATTTATGGCAGCATCAGCACCACCCTCTGTGAGTGTGCCTCCCCCTAGCTGCTGCTGTAGGTGTCACCCCCACCTGGGGTCAGGAGGTACAGGCTCTATGCTGACCATCAGGGCTGGCTGGCCACAGGGCAGTGCCGGAGATCTAACCGGGCTGGGTCAGAGCTGGTTTCCACATCTGAATAGAGAGATGAGCAGTGGTACCCAGAAACCGGCAGCTATTTCTCTGCAGCATCCATTAATGTCCAGCTCCCAGTGTCTGGCTTATTGTGATGTCCCTTGAAGGAGAAGATCTCCAGTGTGGGGGCCTTGAGGAGCTTTCTTTTTGGCCAGGGGCAGAGCAAGGGGAGGGTAGGCAGGGTGTGGCCCAGGTTGAGGCTCGGTCCGGAAGCTTGTTGTTGTGTGGGGTGGGTTGGGGTTTGGCTCCCAGGGCTAGTTTCCGCTCAGGATGCCTCTGCACTTTAGGCCCACACCCTGTTCTTCCTCTGGGGGGCATTTCTTTGCCCTTTTATATCCAGACATGGCCAGTGGGATCACCGTCGACTGGGCCTATGACAATGGCATCAAGTACTCCTTCACCTTCGAGCTCCGGGACACGGGGCGCTACGGCTTCCTGCTGCCGGCCTCTCAGATCATCCCCACGGCCCAGGAGACGTGGCTGGCGCTTCGGACCATCATGGAGCACACCCTGAATCACCCCTACTAGCAACAGCACTGAGGGCAGAGCGGGAGCGTTCGTTTCCTACCCCCAGGCCTGAGAGGCTCTTCCTGAAGCCCAAGTTGTATATCCTCTTCCCCACACACTTACCCTGGCCCCTTAGCAAATAAATACGAGTTTGAACAGGCTTGGCGGCCTCTGGTGCTGGCCACCGATGCCTTTGGGCAGCTTGAAATGCCTCTTCACACCTCAGGAATTCAGGAGGCTGAGGGGGCTAGCAGACCTCGTATTTCTTCCTCCTGCAATGTTCTCCAGGCCCAGAACAGATAACTCAGTGTCCGGGAGCTGCTGATAGACACATTGTCCCCTTGGTGTTTACACTCTAAGATGATCCCGGAGGGGACAATGTTTGAGCAAAAGGATTAGGTCTCCAGTGGTGGCGTTTCTGGCACCATGAGGGATAGGTGGGTACAGACAGGTGACTTCGTCCACTTCCTGTTTCATTTCCCATACTGTGTAGACAGGCAGGGGCATATTTCAGTGACTCCCATTTAGAAGATCCCATTCATCCTCTAAGGGAAGACTGAGCACCCTCCCAGTCTCCCCTGGTCTCGGGGGCAGAGTCACAGCCAGTCAGGGGCAGCACAGCAAAGCATCACACATCCAGGAAGAGGAATCCTCTTTCTCCTTTATCCATAGTCACCATGGTTGTCAGGCACCGAGCAGTTAATCCAGGGCAGGCATTTACTAAGTAAGGACTCTGTTTAAAGGAGAGAAGGGGATGATATTTTGAGATACAAATGAGGTGCCCTCCACTGCATCCGGAAGCTCCTTATAGCTTTTGTCTTCCTCCACCTTTGGGGAGCAGGGATGGTGGGCCTATTTGTCCTGCCCACAGGGGGAGGCAGGTACTCTGAAGAAGCCACATGGGTTTGTGTAAGTCTGAGGCAGAAAACAAGACTTTCATTCACAAGGGCCAGACTTTTGTTGTTTCTGTTGCAAAAGAAAAGAATTGTGGGACCCGTGATTTGGCCCCTGAGGACACATGGCACAGGGTTTTACTATAAATCACATATAAGATATGGAAGAAAGCAGGGTGAAATAAGAACAAGTCTCCCTTTCTACCCAACCTGTAAAAGAAGACAGAGGTCGACTCAGTGGAAGGCGGGGATCGGCAGTGATCAAAACTCTCATAAGTAAGGCCCATGTCCAGTGTGGCAGCTGAGCAGCAGACTGAGGATGGCTAAGTAAGGGGTCTAGACAGGTGATTAAAGTGTACCTGTGGGGGTACCCGTACTGCTGGGCACATCCGAGCAGCACAGCTGTCGAGAGCGCTAAGCAAAGACATGGTGAGGAGGTCTGGGGTAGAGGCAAGAAGGTTGAACCCAGGGGCTATCCCATCAGTGGCCATGGTGGCACAGTGGCCAGGGGATACCTGTGCCTACGACCAGCTGTGCCATGAGGATGCCTGAGGAAGTCACTGAGGTAATGAACACCTGAAGAGCCCAGATCTCCTCCAGGGGCAGAGCCAACAACGGAGGAGGAGAGTGTGCCAGTTTGGGCTGCAGTTCCTCAAGAGAGGCGGAATTGTTTTTGAGCTGGAAGTGATTTGAACAAGCTAGAATTTCCAAGCTCAAGTTTTCTCTATTAGTGGAAATACAAGGCCATGGGCTGAATTCGTATAAGCTATAGGTAAATAAAGCAAGTTATACCTTTGCATACTTGAGTCTGTGATTGTAACTTTTGTACCCTCTGCGCAAATATTTTCACTTCATCCTCTTGGGGAGGATATTACCAGTATTAATAAGCTTGTATTTCAGATGAGGAAAGCATGCTCATGATCTGGAGAGGTTTTACAGGCCACGCAAGGCCACACGGATGGGAAGTGGTTGAGGTAGATTTGAACTTGGGTTTGTCTGACTCCCAAACCACTATGTTGCCATTTGTCCAAGTGTGACCTGCGGCCACACATGCAGCAGAATCCATGGAGAGTCATTTAATGTGAAGATCGTTGGGTTCTGTTCCTAGACTGAAACAATCTCTGGGGTGTACCCCCCCCAAATCTGTATTTTTACCATCTGCCCCAGGAGTTCTGAGGCCCCTTGAAGGCTGAGAACCACCTGCTGTCCTGCCTCCCAGGAGAACATATTTGAGTCTTCTTGGGGAAGTTGGGGCTCACAGTCTCCACTCTTTGCCATTATCCATTAGGGCTGAAGGTGGTTACAACAGTGGGGAGCTGGCCATCCTTCTCCAAGCTGTTCCCAAGGGGCTGCCTTGACCCAAGCCTAAAGCAGCGTGGTCTGTAGACTACCGGCAGCAATACAAATTCTGGAAAACCAAATTCTCAGGCCTACTGAATCTGAATCTCTGGGGATGGGACCCAGGTGATGCTAATGCCACACTGAGAGGCACTGCCCTAGGGTCAGGAGTACTGGACTCTGATGATTTTCTCAGTAACAACAATGAAAATAATAAGCTTTTCTAGCACTTACTATGTGCCGGGCATGGTTCCAAGTGCATTACAGGGTTCAACACATTGCCTCCTCACAGCTCCAAGTAGGATTCTTACTGTCTCGATTTTCTGATGAAGAAGCTCAGGCTCAGGATAGTAGCTAAGGGGCACCCACTACTGAGTGGCAGTCCTGGGACCTGAGTCATGCCCAGAGCCCTTAGGACCAGGGCCAGGAACTTCCTCTTACAGCTATGTTGGCAAGACTTGTGTGCAACCAATAGACTCACAAAAGTTGGAGCTGAAGCTGCTTTACAGAAGGGGGTCTTTTTGAAAGGAAATTTTCTCTCTCTCTCTCTCTCTCTCTTTTTTTTTTTTTTTTTTGGAAATTTTCTCTTTAAAAATCCTTCAATAATGGGATGCCTGGGTGGCTCAGCGGTTGAGCATCTGCCTTTGGCTCAGGTCATGATCCTGGGGTCCTGGGATCGAGTTTCACATCGAGTTCTCTGCAGGGAGCCTGCTTCTCCCTCTGCCTGTATCTCTGCCTCTCTCTCTGTCTCTCATGAATAAATAAAATCTTTAATAATAAATAAAAATCCTTCAATGACTTAAAATATTCCCCTCCCACACTCCGCCAAAGGTGCTGCCTGGCTGGCCCCTGCGGACCTCTCCCACTTTGCCGGAACCCCTTCCTCATGGGCCTCCTCTTAGTCTCTTCCCCATTGGAAGCCTTTGCATGTGCTGTTCCTTCTTTCTGGAACATTCTCTCCTCTCACCATTCCTCCATATGGCTCACTTCTTAAATTTTTCCCTTCAATGTAATTTTCTTACCGATCCTTCTAGGACCACCCATTAGAAGTGGATCTATTATTCTCTTTTCTGAGATTACAATGATAATAATTAATTGACTTCTTTGCTCCTTTGTGTCGGCCCCTACGTTGGCTGCTCTGTGAGAGTAGGGACCACGTTTGGGTTATCCAGCCTCACTCAGTTCCTGTCAGGTACTCAGTATTTATTGAGTGTTTCTCCTCCTGGGCCTTGTACAGATTAGTACTAGGTTTACCATCAGGTGACAGAAACCCACCTTACTGTGGCTTAATGGATCAGGCTTTTATTTTTTTCATGTCACAAGTCACCTGAGGTGGGCGGATCAGCCCACCTGGCTGATTGTGACTTTTTTTTTTTTTTAAGATTTTATTTTTTTGACAGAGAAAGGGAGCACAAGCCGTGGGGAGGGGCACAGGGAGAGAGAGAGAAGTTGACTCCCCGCTGAGCAGGGAGCCTAATGTGGGGTCCCATCCCAGGACCCTGAGATCACAACGTGAGCTGAAGGCAGACGCTTACCCGACTGAGCCACCCAGGCGTCCCTGAGCATGACTCCTTGATGTAATGGGGACCCAGGCCCCTCTGGCCTGCTCTGTTTTGCCACTCTGCTGTCATTTCCACCCCATCGTGTGACCGAATTCCAGGCAGGAATGGCAGGCGCAAAAAATGTGAGGCGGCAGCTGAAGCTGAGGTGGACCATCCGTGGCCTTCAACTTACATTTTATTGGCTGGGCTGCGTCAGGTGGCCATGCTCAGCTGCAAGGGAAGCTGGACAACCGCTCTAGCTGAGCACACTGCTGCTGCCCCAAGTAAAATGAGAGTTCTGTTGGGAAGGAGAACGGGGAGAATGGATATTGGAAAGACGGCCAGTGGTCTGCTGCAGCCTCCCTGAATGGGGAGCAGATCTGAAGGGGCCTCCGAATCCATTTCTTGGTTCTAGTTAATCAAGTGACTGACTTAAGGATTAAGCCATAGAACTTTCCAGGGTCCTTCAAAAACTTCTAGTCTCGGGATGCCTGGGACACCGCTCAGCGGTTGAGCATCTACCTCCGGCTCAGGGTGTGGCCCCTGCGTCCTGGGATCGGGTCCTGCTTTGGGCTCCCTGATGCCTACGTCTCTCCCCATGTCTCTGCCTCTCTGTGTGTGTGTCTCTTATGAATAAGTAAATAAAATCTTTAAAAACAAATAAATAAAAGCTCCTAGTCCAACCTCTCTCATCTTACAGTTATAGAGACTGGGGGTCTCTGGATGACTGGACTTCTGTGAGGCCCCACATTAACGTAATGGCTGAGAGAAGACTAAAGGCAGGGGTCTTCCTCCTATGACTGAGGGTTCTCCTCAGCAGGCCCAGGGAGGTGAGGGCTGGAGGGGTTTAAGTGTATCAAATAAAAGCTGAAGAGTTAAACATGCAAATTTCAGAGACATTACAGAATAATCTCTTTTTTCACAAAATCCAAACTTTTTTGTTTTTCACTTCTTAGGTATATAATGCTAAACAGGAGTTGAGTTTTTGTACATTCTGCTTGGTGTTCTTTTTTTTTCCTTCTTCTTTCCCCTTCCAACAAACTGCTCTTTTTAGGTATGTTTTTTCATCGTTTTCACCAGTAAAATTTATGAGCATTTATTTAAAAGAAAAAAACATCGGAAAAACTGAAGAGAGAGAAAGAGTGATTATACATATGGAAAGCTATAAAGAGCCACAGTGAATGTGTTGCGGTTATTGCTTTCTTAAAAAAACAAACCAGGCAGGCAGCTTGGAACGTGAAAGAGTCCTGTGTGAGGGCAGGCGGTGGCAGAGGCCCAGAGTGACGGGCCAATGGCCGGGGGCCAGCGAGTGCCCCGGAGCCTGCGGAGCCGTCAGCGGCCCCCGCCCCGCGCCGGCCCCAGAGAGAAAATGACTTTACCGAAAACGTAAAATTCAATTTAAAAAGGCTTCTTCGGAAAAAATAAGAAGGCCCGACAGCCGCTTAGTGCGGGCCGAGGGGATCCAGCGAGCGCCGGCCCCACCCCGGTCCAGTCAAACCATCTCCACTTTGGGGGGCTGCGGGGGTCAAGTCATGCTCTTCTGTC